ATAGAAGCATCAGTGCACAGTAGAAATGCAAACCCTCTGCCAAAATCCATCTGGGTGGTGTGACATTTGAACATATGACCCTTAAAAGACTTACACAGACAGGAGACTTCTTAAAACATATTTTTGATTGTGATTTTAAGTGGAATTTCTTGTGATCACAGCAAACTAACCAAAATAATTTTATTTATCATTTTCAAATATGAAAAGTATTAGTATAATATTACTGTATCGTCCATTTCCTATACCTATAAGATAAAAACTAAAGTATAACATGAAAATGACACCACCAACCTATTTCAAAATTTGATCTCCCTATGGAAACAAATTTACAGAACTCAAAAAGCTTAATAAAAAGAACAAACAGCTAGTATACTGAGAGCTTACCCACCCACTCCTGCAATTCAGATATACTGCATTTGAAAGAAAAAAATATCATTCTTCCTGGAAGGAGGACACGTTTTTGAAAGTAAGGGAGCGCATATATGTTTCCAGGACTTACTTAAGTGAGCAAACCAGTTTGAGATCAACACAAATGCGGCACTCCACGCCCTGCTACTGGGACTATCTGAAAGGGTGCTTAGTATCTGTACAAAGCACACTACCCGAAATCGAGTGGCCTGTGCCCCTCGCCCGCACGGCTGCGGTGGGAGACATGGTGCACAGGCAGCACCAGCCTGCAGCCAGCACCGGGCACCTGCCAACGTCCTGGCAGCGCAGCACAGGGTCCTCCTGCACAAAGAGTTCTCCCATACCTTGGCTGCAGAAGCCAGCCCTCCCTCTTCCCTATTCTTCTTTCTCTTCCTTTCCCTTGTTGTTTTTTGGGTTGAGGATTTTTTTCTGCATCTCCCCACCACCACCACCCCGTCTCTAAGAAACAGGACATAGCCTGGTGATTCACATAGGCCAGGCTTCCTTCTATGCAGCCCTTTGGGTAGAGCTGCTAATCCTTCTTATTAATTAATGAGATAATAGCAGTTAACCGGAAAGCAATAGTAATGCTAACTATCTAGGAACTTCCAACCGAAATTATTTAGTTTGTTTGCTGATTTCCTGGTAACAAAGTCATGCAGCTGGAACTGTAGCAGCATCTTAATGATTTAAGAAGTTAAAAAAACAAGAGTGCCTGAACATTATCAGACTAAGGACATCTGCATCTATTTTCTGCCCTCCTTCTTGGATAGTTTAAAAGATCCTCCCCTCCCTCAACTTCAGAGTTTATTAACAGCTGGGGATACGGGCTCCCCCAATTATATCACTTTTACACAAAGACAAAGAAGACTGTAAACAGCAACATGACTGATCGGAGAAATGTACTCCAAGAGGCACATGCATTAAAAACACTTACAAATGTTTAGCATTTGTATGTACCATTGCTTCAGCCCTTTACACTCCTAAAGAATTTCTCAAGGTCTACTATGCTTCATTCAGTATGTGCTAGCATCAAGTTTGCATTTTATTTATGCTGCAAAAAAAACAGCAGAGATGATGCGGGGATTAGGAATTCTGCAGATGAGGCATATTGGTGTAGATATTTTATGGTTTAGAAAAACAGCAAGGCAATTTTTAATTATATTTTTATTATTAGCCATTGTAAGAGCAAGTAAAACATCTACCAGAAGAAGGGATTTATATTATCTGGGTTCTGTTGCAGCAAACAACTACTGCAGCTTTCATTCACTGATTGTCAAAAACTTTCCAATGTGCCCACTGCAATGCGGATGCCAACCAACGAATCAAAGGCATTCAGCAACTAGACAAAGAGGGTCTGATGCCAACCTCGGTGCCACTGGCAACCATTATTGGCATCAAGCACATTGTCTGCCTTTTTTTTCCCCCCTCTCCTGGCACTCGACAAACAAAATGGCGGTTCTTGTAGCAACGGAAACACAGCATAAGCACTGCACTGAATCAAATACCATCAAATGATTTTACGGATTGAGATGTGTTTCATACCAAATGATAGACACTCTCTGATGCCTGACAGAAGGGGAAAAAAAAAAAAAAAAGAAAAGGCATTTTTGTCAATAGAAACAACGTTCATGCTATTTTCAAGTTCTGGGCTTTCTAAAAATTCAGGGCAGGGGGAGGGGGGGTGGACCTGATGCACACAACAAGCAGAGCACCATAGAAGGGTGTTATGATTAAGAGTTACTTTGGTGTTAAACATTGATCACAGTGTGTATTTCCCATTTTCTTCTTTCATTTCAGTCAAAGAAGCAGCTTTGCAACCTATGTCAAGACCCTTTTTCTATTTATTTTTTTTTTTTCTTCATAAATCACATGAGGATAGCAGAAAAGACTGGAATGGGGGAGAAGGTGCTGAATTTTGAGGGAGAGGAGCGAAAAGTAGAAACAGATGAAGTTAGTCAACTTTGGAAGTTGGTCCTTATTTCTTCTTTCTAGGCAGGCATGGAAGTAGAAGCTCTTTTTATTAAGAACTGAAAGGATTATTGACACTTCTTGATCTGGAAATTGTCAATATATTGTAACATTACTCTGCACTGCAATGCGGATGCCAACCAACAAATCACAGGCATCCTAGGCTAAACAAAGAAGGTCTGATGCCAATCCTGGTGCCACTGGCAACCATCACTGGCACTCAAACTATCCTTCCTCCTCTTTTTTCCCCTAATCTTCCTTTTTAAAGCAACAAAAAAACAAACTACTTGGTCCCTTTATTCATTTTACGTGCTAATTCCATCTTCATATTTCATTCAGGGATTTAATTATTTCTATGCTTCTGCTTAGTTTTTACGTGATACCATTAGGCGGGTCTATATATTCTAAAAGAGAAATAAAAAGCTAAACAACATGTGCATAATGCAGCATTTTGGTCAACTTCATGCTTATCTTTTGCAAAGCCTTGTGCTCTTAATCAAGTGCATCACAAAGTGCCACAATTAACCTGCTTTCAATGAGGACAGAGAATCAAAGTTTGACAAAATGGGGGGGGGAGGGGGATACAAAGATAACTTAATATGACTTCTTCAAGTAAATAGCCAACAGATGTTAATGGAAGATTTACAGTGAACAGCAAGACACATACAAAATATATGCAGTTTACAATAAACAAAAGGGTCTACTGAGAGTGCCTTCATATACAGAAATTACCCAGCTTCACCTTCCAGCATATTGTCAAAGTAAGAGTGTATAACTTTAAAAGTTATAATATTACAGCATGTTTATCTTACTAATTTCTGGTTAGACAAGTGTTTTAAATAAACTCATATTCTCAATCTGTTTAAATGAATATTAGCTATGCCCTGCAATTCCTCTTCCCACTTTAAGTTACTGGCTTCCAGCAACTAAAAGTCGTTCAGTGTCTAAGGATACTCTGACCCCAGCTTCTTTGGCTCAAGAGCTACTTAAACAGCTTTGCCTCCCTTTGTAGTTTTGACTTTTAGAGAGAGGTAAATCCATTAGAATTAACCAGTAAGCTATGTCTTGCAATAAATGCATTCAAAATATCGTTTGAATTTCTCTTCACAAAAGGAGTTTAAAGGTACAAATTGTATGCAATTAAGCTATTTTGTTTAATGCTATCAAAGAAATCTTTCTGTGTTATTGGGGATTAGATTTACCAGACTCTGCAGCTACTTATAGTCACTGCAAAACATCTACAGTGCTGTTTACTGCTGTGGAGAGAAAAAATACAAAAAATACAAGCAGGAAAATAAATAAAAAAAATAAAACACAATGGAATATATTTTTTCATGATGAATAATCGAAAAAAATTGAACCCTATTTATACATTCACATAAACATAGTGCTCCACTTGCATAAGTAAATGCTAAAAGACCAATTCAGCTAGAAGACCAATTCACTGAAAACAAAAAGGTCGTTTTGTGTTATCTGTTCTCTTAAAGGATGAGTACACACTGAATGAAAACATGCAATTTTAACTTTTTGTTACTAACAAAATCCATTCCGCTTGTTTTTTGCTTAAATCCTGCAGTTATGTATCAGGCATCATATAACAGCCTGCCATCTGACCTTCTGCAGGCCATTTCTGCCTACTTCCAGGCCAAGTTGTGAAAATGGCCCTCCATCTACGGCCAGACAAACTTTCATTAGTTGAGATCTGTGGCTAAAACATAAATGCTCTATTCCTGCTGATCAGTCAGCAACAGAAAGTCATCTAGAGGGTGGTATAATTACCAGAAAGAACCAAAATAACCCCTCATAGAGAAAAAGCATTTCAGAAGGCTTAGTATGAAAGGAAAAAAACTTTATCTACTTACAGCCATCTACAATTTCAGGGAACCTGCCAAAAAGTTATTATCTGAATAAGTGACTAGCAGTTTCTTCCCTGATACATGATTATTAGAAGCCCTGTTTTAATTTTCATTCTCTAAAACTAAATTTAAGAAGCTATTCCGAAGTGTTCCTGCAATTTTTCACATTTCAATTACCTGTCAAATAAAATTAAGTATTCAAGTGTGATTATGAAAATATACTTTTCGTGGAAAATTCTCTCAAAATATTCCAACCTGGATCTTTGCTTTAAAGCTTGGATAGGTAAGATAAGCTAGTGTTGTAAAGTATGAATAAAATGTTAAGTACTGTAAATTGTAATTCTGACTACAAATGACACCTAGAAAGCACTATTTTTGTGCTAAAGTGTTTTTTGTGTTTTATTTTATAGATATGAGAAAGTCTACAAGTCCTCTTCGAAATGATAGTAGGTTCATCCATCTAAGGATGAATTCTTGATTATTTGTAACTACAAAGACAATAATAAATATTTGTAGTATTTATTGTGATTGAGCAATTGCACATACCTGCATCTGTTACTAACAGTACTGGGGGAACAAAAAAAAACAAAACAGCACATTGAAAAACAAGAAGAATGTTTTCTGAATTCACCGCTGGAAAAACTACACTTTCTAATATTGCCACTTTCTGACAAAAAGAAAAGGCAAATTTAGTGAAACTAAAGTACTGCTTTGGTATGTCCCGCTCTCTTGAAAGAGAGCAAGACACGTATGTGAAGCATACATATTAGTTACACAGATGTGTAGGAATGCGTGTGTGTGTGTAAGTATATACGTATACATGCTGATTTACATATGGATATGTACCCACGTTACGTCTATAGACTGCAGAATAACATTTCACTGGAAGCCAGCCCATAGGGGAAACAGGGCTACTTGGAATCAGAGTTTGACATACTAACACAGAAACAACAATCTGCTTCCTACCTTGCTCCTGCACGTAGTATGCCAAAAACAAATCAAGCTCCTTGACTGATACTGTTATGTGATGTGGCTGGACGCAAAGTGCTGGATTTGTGCAATGTGGGGATTTCATGAGCCGCTCTCCATCCGTACTTTCCAAGGGGATGCCTTTGAACAGGATCACCATGACTAGATCCAGACGCCAGACTTTGTCAGCCTGTCGCAGGCAGTCGATTCTCCTAATCTTACCCTTCTGGTCAGGATTGGACAATACACAGCATGGGTGCTTCTTCCCAGTCACTGTGAGCACAAAATCCTCCCGGAACTCTTGGCGAATATCTTTGCGCAGCTTGGCCAGGAGCCTGGATGCCCACTTCTGTTTAATTTCAGGCTTTTCGCTAAGTAGCTCATCCTTGACTGCTCTTTCCTCGTCCTTTGACATTCGTTTCTCATGTTTCTTAAAGTACTTGCGTTTTCGAGCCTGAAGGTTGAACCAAGTATAGGCAATTGCACGGACATGTGGAAGAAGTGCCTCAATGAACGGGTGAAATTCATCCTGTGGAAAGAAGTGGAGGGGAAAAAAAAAAGAAAAGAAAACTCAGCGTCAGTAAATGCTCAATAATCAAAGCAGTACCAATCAAAGTTTCTGAAAATTTTAAAGTGAAAGCCAAGACAAATAGGATAAACACTTAAAATTCACACAAATTTCTGCATAACACCTTTTACGCAATTACTACCACTGTCAGGAGGCAGACAAAAAGTACACAGAGAATTGCATTTTCCCCATATTTCACTCTTCAAAAAAAACATGTATTTTATTTTGTATGGCTCCCCTCACTTCACCTCACAACACTGCAGAAACATCATTTAAAAGATAAAAAGATACACTATCAAGATGTTTTGTTCCTAACATTTAAATATCTGAGTGAATGGCTAACATCAAGAAAAGTACCATTGCACAAAGAGGACACTATACGGTTTTAAAAAATCTGAGCAGAAATGTTCAGAAGGCTGAGGCGAATGCCACAGTTCATTTCTCTTCTCTGTGGCACAGAAACACAAAGCATATACATGCTCAGTGTAATGCCACACAGTTCCCGCTTTTGGAGCATGCTCTCAGCAAGAGACTGCTGGTGGCACAAAGAGCATGCGCCATTAAACTTGATCCATTTTCTTATCAAACGTCCAGCATTCCAGCACTGAAACAGCACCATTCCAGTGGTGGTAACTACAGAAACCAGTATACGGTAAGGAAAAGCAGGCAAAAGACACAGTGTGTCGTATACAGCAAATCCTGAACAGAAGCTTCAATACTTTCAGCTCTTTGGGCTTCCCTGCCACAACCCCCCATCTGCGTAAAATAAAAGTTTATGAAGTTGAAAACAAAAATCATATTTATGTTCTTCCGCAGGTTCGCTGTGGGTTTTGAGGCTTCGCAAAGTCTGTTAATTTGTTAACTGATCACATGAGTGTGGCAATTATTCTAAACCCCTTAAAAATCAATCTAAGGTGTACAATGAAAAATGGCAACTTGGCACAAACTTTGCATTCTTTGTGTTTCTGCAGGCTGTGGCAGAGTGACATTACAAGTGCACCTCTGGTTAAATGCTGCTTCTTTGAAATCCATGTAATTTATTTACAGTTCCAAAATATCCCTTTCTGACATCTGGCTTCACCTGCAAGTTCTTATCTTCTGCCTAGCAGAGATACAGATTGCATTAAGGAGGTAATGCTTAGTTGTTGTCTGCAAGTACATCCTATAGCAATTAAATTAATTCATTTTGTCTGCTTAAAGTATCATCCTCCACATTCATGTTAATATCTAAACAGGCCTTTCCCAAAAACTTCTTTTTTGTGAGAAAATCCCCTGTTTCGAACTGTGTGATCTGCTTATCAAACATTACTGTATTTTGGCTTGGAAGAGAGACCTTAGGGGAGGTATCTTTCTTCCTGTGTGCAAGCAAATTTAGTTTTAAATACCATGCAGATTGCTCATCATACTGAGTGGCACAGCGCAATCAAACTAAAACTGAACCTCTTTTATACAATTATATTCAAGAATACAATTATCAAACTAATATTTTAGCCACGCTGCTAGACAAGGAATGAATTACATTTAATCAATAGGCTGATTAACTCCATTAGGTAAAAATGATGAAAGTATAACGAATGGTCTCAATTACACAGGGTTCAGACTGCCATTGTAGAAGCTTCAGGCCAAGAATTCAGTATTTAAATCTTCAAATTTCAAACAAACTTTAAAATTTCCTGAATGGTAAAAAAGCCCAATAGATCTAGTTACCGCTTATCCCTAACCATTCTCAAGTCAGACAGAAAACAACTGGAAAGTTGCAAGCAGATTACCTAAAGAGCATGTTACCTTTGCGGCGGGGGGGGGAAGCTATATATATAAAAAATAAATAAAATAAATAAAATACAATGCAATACAATAAATAAAATGAAATTAAATGAAATAAAATAAAATAAAATAAAATAAAATAAAATAAAATAAAATAAAATTAGAAGAGAGACAATATCAGAAGATAATTCAGGACATAAAAGATTGCATTACAGTCTGACGCTTGACAAGGAGCCACAAAGGCAATAATTAAACTGATTAGTAGTTTCCAGCAGAGATTTGAACAATTCTGATACTATACTGGCACATAAAACTAGGCCATGGAAAGAGTTAAACCACAATCTGTTCTTTGTGTGGGAAGGCAATACAGTTCTGAATAACCACAGCCCATGATAAGACTTCCCTATCTTCATACGCTTCTGATGCCATGCTTTTTTCCCCCTCAATTATAACTACTAAAGAAAGTTTATTTTTACTTCAACAGAAGTCATCTTAATACAAGTATTAAAATATTATCTTTTTTTTTAAATTAACATAAGCATAAAGACTACATGGTGTTAAATCCTTACAAATCATTTTAGACTGAATAAAACAGATCTACTACGAATCTTGAAAATTCTAACAGTTGGGGCTAAACGTGGAGTAAAGGCAGGGGGTTGAAGAGCTTTGGTAGAAATTAATTTTTGCCCCAACACAATGACTTCCCCTATATCTACACAGACTTCAGCATTCATAACTGAAAGTGGAAATGAAATTAATGTGGAAATATTCTGTGCTACTTGAACATCTAGTTTTCTAAGAAAGAAAACATTCTTCTATTTCTAAGAACAATACAAACTATTTTGGAATGGCTATGTCTTCAGGTAATGTACATAGCATTTACAATAATAACTTATAGCATTTTATCTATGAAAATGTGATAGAGGAAAAAGGAACATTTTAAATTCCAGCCTACAGTGGTTGAATGCTTCCTTTCAAGAGAATGGAGGGAAAAAAGCAAATAAAATACAACAAAAGGAGAGGCGGAATGTGACTTTTAATTCAGGTTTTTCTTTCATAATATCAGTAAGTCCTAAAGATAAAAATACACGTGAAAGAGTGTGAAGGAGAAACACAGTAAAGAACATCCTGTTCTAAAGCAATATTATCAGAGATCTTTGAGAGATTCATTGTGCATCTGGAGTCCTTTCAAATGAAACATTACTTGACAAGAAGAAGTGCCCATAAAAATGATCCTAAATGGAGATTTGCAATTAATCACACACATTCTCCACTAAACCTCCTAAAAAGCCATCTACAGAATTTGATTTTTTTACCCCTTAGTATTCATACAGGCAATACTGAAATTATTTTTTTATGTGGTTCTTACTCATGTGCCACAGTTGCTCTTGCAATAAAGTGATTTATGGAGGTAAGATTTTCAACTGTCATATCAAATAGTTCAGGTGAACCATTGTGCACTGGCAATTTAAATTAAGGTGGAAGTTATTGTCTAACATATGTATAGCTTGTAAACAAAGGAAAAAATAACAGTCTCCTAATATTGATAGATAGGCCAGGTTTTCTTTTGGTGAAAGGTAAAGGGGAAATGCAGTGCCCTTCTCCCATTTTTCACTTTTATAAACTTTGTAACAGTCCATGCAAGCTTGAGCTAAGGAGCAGACAATAAGTACACCTGTTCTAAGAAGTCCAGGAATTTTATACGGAAAACTTCATGTACTCAATTTCTCTTCTGTGGGCTTAACATATTCTAGGAGAGGGAAGGAAAAAAAAATTAGAAAGAAAAACATATTCTGAGTTTCCTGGACCACCATAACATAAAAATAAACCACAGCAAAAATATCACAAGAGACCAAGCACTTAAAGGCTTGCAGCAACTGCATCCTATCACGCCTCAGCAAGAGAGATAAATGCAGTTTCCACTCGTTCCAAAATAGGGGGAAAGAGGTATGTGGGAAGAAGAGGAAAGGACCCCAACAAAATTTAAACTGCATTTGGTAAGTCACCTTCTTCTTTGGGGTTATTTTACACCCATCAATTTTTTTCTGAAAGAATGATGGGTAGCATTCAAAATGCCAAGGTTTATCTTAAAGCTGTACTCTGGGTTTTAAACTTGTATCTAAAAGCTGCTTCAGCATCGTTGCAGCACAAACTGAACTACTGCTTTTGTCAGGGGCTCAGTTCAAACAGGTGTTCTGTGTTTAGAACTTTTACCAAAATATTTTCCTCTGAGCATACACTACCACAGTCAACGTGCATCACAAGAGCCCTAGACACTGAGAACACAATAGAGAGAACAATTTTGGTAGTGTTATTTTAACTCAGTCGCAACTCACTCTTTTGCTTTAAATAAATAAATAACACAAAGTATGAATTCTCATTATCAGTGAAATCCTCATTTTTAATTTATGGAGAGAAAAGGTGAGTTTTAAAACGACTTTACCATTCCAAACAGGTAGAGAAAGATTCCAAACTACAAGCAGTTTGCTGCAACTGTGTTCCACGTATGCAACACTAAGTGGGAACTGTCTCTGCATGGCACATGACACAGCGTGACTGTAAAATATTATGGGGAAGTCATCGACACATGAAAGCCAGGAACTGCTTTCCTATATTTACGGCTGTAGAAGTGCAATGTTTTCATGCACACCTGAGTGCAGTATTTTAACACAGATTTGTAAAGAATGAGGAAATCTATTACATCTGTGAGTCCAATAAGCAAACATGGGGGGGGTTGGAAATGTCATTAGAGCAGGAAATAACATGAACTACTCATTGTAATAGAGGTGGTAGCAAAAACTTGCATGTTTCCAATGTGAAATTCACTTTCTCAAGTTCTCTCAGGTTTTACTCCCGTGCACAGGTCTAATTGCTTTGTCAATAATCTCAACAGGATGGCCAGCCCACACAGAATTAATTTTTACTAATTGCAGATTCTACCATAAGTAATTATTTTTATATGTGTACCTGCAAGCATGTGCGCATGCTACACATAACACTTCCTACATGTACTCATTTTTTCTGCTGAAGTATCTCAACAGTACTCTTTTCCAGCTTTGCTTCGCTGCAGCTCACGTTTACTTGCTGAAAATATCCATATCTAAGTCAATCACACTTATATGCCAAACAAAATATAAACAATAAAAAATGTGTCAGCCAAAAAGCTACAGGACTCTATCCAATCACTGCATAAGCCTTATCGTTGTTTCCATCTTCATTCACAATTTATGAATACTTCAGTCCTTTTGAATTACAATGCTTTCTAATTGTGGAATAACTTAAATCGTACTTATTTATTCAACGTGCCACTGTAGGACCATCGCTGGCCGCTGAACTACAGCGTTGCGGGAGACGCTACTTTCTCCCATTTTCTGCTTCTTTATCCATTTGTTGCGCCAATGTGAAAGCCACCAGTTATCTCTTGATCAGTTTACATCACATCCTCCTAAAACAGACTTTCACAAAAACCCTGAAAACTATCCCTGGGTTTTATAGACCGGGCTCGCTTGCCGGTGTTCCGGCGCTAGCTCCCCGTTACCGTACGCCCGGCAAGGACGCTCCTGGGGCAGCCGGGGAACTCCCGAAGCCCACTCCCTAACTCCCTCCAGCCTCAAAAAACGCACTCTGCCGCCGCGGGGACCTCCGCTCGGGCTGTCCCCGTCCTCTCCGCGCACCGCTCTGCGCCTCCCCGTTCCCTCCGTGCATCGCGCCGCGCCGGCCGCGGCTTCACCCGGCTCTCTCCCGCCGTCCCGGTGACAGCCGCCCGGGAAAGCGGCCGCAAGGGCGGTGGTGAGGAAAGGCTGACTCGCTCCCGGCCCTCGAGGGGATGCGCCCGCCTGCCAGCGTCGCGGCGTAGCCGGGAGCGGGGAAATGCCATGCCCTGGCACCGCCGACCCGGGCAAGGCTGCACAGCTAGGGCGTCCCGCTCGCATCGCCCTCGGTGCTGGCAGGCTACCTATTATTATTAAGAAAGCATTCGGCAGGATTACTTCTCACCGGCGAGCGTTAGGTTCTGGGGTTTTTTTTATTCCTCAAAACCACCACTTTTCCGTTCAAACTGTTTCATTAGACTGGCGAGCTGAAAAGAGAGCAAATCGTTTGATTCCAATAAATCAATACTTCTCAAACATGCTTCTTAGCGTAATTATGCTCATTTCCATTTTCTTAACCTTTGACTTCTTATGCACCAACAAGTAACAGTACTTGCCTTAGGGTGACACTTTCAATGGATCTCCCCAACACAATGGCCTGGTACAGTTTATTCTCTACTATTCCCTCCTGCGAGAGGGAGTTTGGATCAGACAAGCAATTACAACTGTGCTTTAACCCATTACAACTACTAGAAATGACTCATTACCAACTCACATACATGCAAAAATTAAAAAAAAAAAAAAAAGTTAAATAAATAAATAAAACGCGTCTATACCTGAGTGAGACAGATTGGAGAATACATCATGACTTCGCTGTGAGAACACGCTGCCCGGAGAGCCCCTAAGAAAAGCCTCAAAAAGGAATAATTTCATCTATTCATTTTACAGTCATCTGAGACTCAAGAAAGATGAAATCAATCAGGACGGGGCTCTGCCCTGTATCACCAGAACTTCACAACAAACCCCAGTCCTCCTTAAATAGCCAAAGATTCAAGTTCACTCCGTGTGCTAGATTTCCCGGGGTGAAATCCAATCTACACTTTTAACCCTCTTGTAGTCGGCGGCGCAGAAGTCTTGCTTTGGCTGCTGCTGCTGCGGCTGCTGCTGGTGGTTGTTTTGCAGATGAGGGGGGAAGGACTCGGGGGGGGTGGGGGGGTGGGCGGGAGGATTTTGTTGTTGTTGTTGTTTGGGATTATTATTTTTTTTATCCTTTTCTTTCCTTCTCTTTCTCTTTCCCCCCCTAAAGACGCCGGTGGCGGTGCGTTGTTATCTCGGCTCCGTCACCGCGCTCGCCAAAGTTCAAGGTTACAGCCCGCAGCGGAGCAGGACGATCCCTGGGAGATGGCAGCCCAAACTTCGCCGGGCAGCGACCATGCGGGCTGCGGGCGCGAGCCGGGGACGGGGGCGCGCGCACCGGGGCGGGCAGCGCGCGGCCTGGTAGCTCCCGCCCTCGCGCCGAGGGCTTAATGGCGAGGGGCCGCTTCCTGAACGCCCTCTGTAACAGAAACGATTCCTCGGAAATTCAGACGGCAAATCGTTCCTTCCCGGTGCGCTCCCGGCGCCTCAGCGCCGCGTCCCGCGTGTGCGCGCGTGTGTCCCTTCGCTCCGCAAAACTTGGGAGTTGGAACACGGGGCGGTCACACCCTGCGGACCGCGCTGCTGCTGCAGCGGTCTGCCCAGATGAAACCCAAGTATTTTTTATTATTATTATTTAATTACACAATCACCGCTTACACTCCTCCTCCTCCTCCTCCTGCAAACACATTCCTTCTCCGCCAGATCCCCCTCCCCTGCCCTCCCCCTTTATTAATCACCAGCTAGCGCCGCAGAAGGAGCTAGCACGTTTTGCGAACATTCCTCATTTTCCCTCTTCTGATGGGAGAAAGTTGCGCGGGGGGAGGTAAGGTAGAGGGGGGGAGAGAAAGGCGTCGCGGAGGGAAGGTTGCCATCTGCAGGAGGTCTCTTCCCCCTCCACCGTTCGGGGTATGATCCCGTCCTTGGCGGCAGGGTTCGGATGCCGCTGCTGCCCTCTCTGCGGCCCCCGGCCCGCAGCGGAGGACAGAGGGAGGGAGAGCCCCTCCGCACTCGATTACACCCCTCCTGCACCCCATCACCCGGCACCGCCGGTGGCTGCTGTCCCGGCACTCGCAGGCAGCAGCAGGGCTCCGGGTCCGGTTTCATTCTCACTGGGCCGCTTGTACCGGCGGAGAAGGGGAGTGTGGGGGGGAAGCAGTGAAGGAAACTTATTCCTGCTCCAGTGTGGAGAGCAACGTACAGCGGGTAACGGGGGGGGGGGGGGGGCTCAGTGTGGGATCTCTCCCCCCCCCCCGCCGCTGGGAAGGGGCTGCTGAGCGCCACTGGCGCTGCCTCACTCCCGGTGCCGGTGCGCGGCCCCCGGAGCGCCCTGGAGGGACCGCTGACTTCCTCCCTGCCCGAAGTGAGAGTTTATTCACGTCAGGCATTTCACAACGACACATCAAGGAAAAGTAGGCAGGTTCAAGTCAACCATGAAATGGTCACTTTTTAACCCCGTCCTGTCCTCATTAGGGAAATGCTCAAACACAGCCCATTTTCAAAGAGGGCTCTTAATGAGGGGAGCTTGCCAAGTCTACTAGCTGCAATTCCCATAAATTTACAAACCAAAAGAAGCAGGGGGATGGGCGGGGGAATGAGGGAGCCCACATGAGACAGGTAATGTCAAAGGAAACAGCGAGAGCCCAACGAGTTAACCCATTGCAGAATCCACAGCTGAACCTCGCAGCTCAGTTTCTGGCTGCCCTTGGCTGGTTCCCTCAGATTTGTGGGGTTCAAGCAACATCCACGGCTTTTCCCTCCTACAGACCACACTGGTAAGTGACAAGTTTGGAGCATAGGCTCAGGCAAGGAGAGATGAGGCAAACACGGGGTTAACCACAATGAGCAACATTTGTTTTCATATCTGGTGTAGAATACACCCCAAATCCTATCTTCTTCTCCTTTACCCAGACACTGCAAAAAGCTGATAACACCAGCTTTAAATACCGGAGTTTCCCTTTGAATAAATATTCAATTTAACTGGAGTTAATTTACCATAAAAGACATTCCCCTTGGCACAAATGCACTGATGTCCTTGAACACACCTCTTTGAGCGCTTGAACTCTTTCTTACACAACATGCCATTACTGCAGACCTTATTTAAAAGCATAATAATCCCATTCTGTTCCCCTTCTCTCTTGCACCCCTCTGTGAGAATCCGGACAAGGCCCCAACACTGCATCAGCAAAGCTGTCCATGCGAGCTGCACACATGTGAGAAGTATCCCATTTCCCAAGCAGCATTTGCAGAAGACCTCATTCTCCCCCCCTGTCCTGGCTAAGGGACCACTTTGTGCTAGAGGCCTGTAAACTAAAAGCAAGTACAATCTGGCAAGGTCTCAGGAGCAAGGAGGGGCAAGCAGGAAAAAGCAAAAGGAGCAAGGTAAGGGCAAACACCAGGCTGGTTACTTTCTGCATCTCTCTCTGCTTACTGCAAGGAGGTGGAATTGGGTTTGCATCCCCACGAGAGCAGGCGGAGAGTGGGTTTGAATCCCTACACAGAGTGGCTGAGCCCAGCCAGCCCATCAGCAAGTGCCAGTACCTCCAGAATAGCACTGCTGGGGATCACAAAAAAGCCAGACTGTCCCTCCCCTGAACCCATCTGTTGGCCAGGATTGAGCAGGCCCTCATGTGAAGGCATGCTTGTGGGAAATGGAGCTGCCTGGCCAGCACAGCTCAAGCAGCATCTTCTCTGCAAGACCCAGAAGCCAAGGTGACCATGGTATGGTTTGCCATGGGTGTGTTTCCAGTTTAACCCACAGGCTCCCAGTGCATCAGTGATAGCAGGCTCAAGTAAGCACCCAGAAGGCATGTTTTGGTTCTGCTCCTCCCGATTAATCCCAGTGGGAACCCATACAGCAGGGAGGTTTTGTCCTGGGAGAACTACACACACACTCAAACACACACATGTGTGCACATGCCCCCTCTATCTCACTCCACACACACACACTTCTTTCACAGGAAAGCAAGTTAAAGATTCTTTTGAGAATGGAGAGAGTTCCATTAAAATAATTTTTAAAAGAGCAAATCTACCACTTTCTTACAAGAGTGCTGGGACGTGGGTTAACTTGGAGAAACACAGTATCAGAACAATGACAGCAGCCATCGTGGCTGGGCACTAGCATGTGGATACCATTGTGGTAAAGTGGTTCAATTGCTTTCATGTTCCGGCTTGCATTAACCCCCTCACCCTAAAAACCCTTCTCTCCCACCGTACACACTAACAACCCTGCTGCTGCTGCACATTTTCTATCCTTGAAGCTCCAGTCTGGGGAACAGTTGCTTTTTGTCCTCACTGCCAGTTATGCCAGCCTCCCCACTGTATATGGAAGTACAGCTATCCTTCCCAGGTGGACAACTGAGAAAACAAAAGTCACCATCCGGCCTTCATGGTGAAAGACACAGCTCCATGGGACTGGGATGCCCTAGACACTCCTGGACACACACACAGGTGGGCACACATGCAGCAAAGACATGTGCCTGGAAAGAAAATGCACCTTCCATACCAGCAAATGGCAAATGCTGAGTCTGCGTGTGAACCATCCTCACTGAGTGGTCATTTTCAGAGGGGAGACTGTTCCCGCACCCTTTCCATGCCTCCCACCCACCCCTGGCCGGGGTGCCCAGGATGGAAGGACATCCACTGCCCACCCTGCAGCATCTGAGATGGCTCATCTCAGAAAAGAACCAGAAAGGGATTTTGACACCATAGCCAGATGGACTTTCTGCCCATCACCCATCCTAACTCCGCAGAGCAGTTGTCTGCCAGTGGTGCAACTCCTAGTATGCCAGTCTTGCACTGAAAGCCTGAGTTTTCCCTCTTTGCTTTACAGACAATGACCACGAACTTTACTAGATGCTTCAAAGTGGCACTCTTGGACTTTGGCAATAGCAGCCCTAAAGAGTGGATAGGACACTTAGGCCACCTGTATCTTTCCTAAAGCCGTATTTCAGCTGATTGTTTTTTGGTTGGGCAACTGCACAACTGTTTCAAGTTTTGGAGCACAAGACTACTGTTACAAGTACAAGGGGTACAAGGGGTAACAGGTTCAAACTTAAACAGGGAAAGTTTAGATTGGATATAAGGAAGAAATTCTTTCCTGTGAGGGTGGTGAGGCACTGGAATGGGTTGCCCAGGGAGGTTGTGAATGCTCCATCCGTGGCAGCATTCAAGGCCAGGCTGGACGAAGCCTTGGATGGCATGGTTTAGTGTGAGGTGTCCCTGCCCATGGCAGGGGGGTTGGAACTTGATGATCTTAAGGTCCTTTCCAACCCTAACTATTCTATGATTCTATGATTATGCATCAAAAATCAGAGAAAGGTATTGCTAACGCTAAAGTGTGCAGCCTAAGATTCCCTCAGAATACAAGCGGGCAGTTTGGCGGGCAGTTTGGCAGGCATTTTGTATCTAAACATACACATACTGAACCAAGAGATTAAGTTTTCATGAAAATTCCAGAGGTCTTTTTGTGAAAATCAGAAACAATTGCTTCTGGCATATGGCATTTTATCTAAGTGATTCAATATCTGAGAACCAGCTCCAAATTTTTTACGTAAGAGGTCTCAGTGATACAAAATACAAGCTTTACAGTGATTTTTACCTCTAGTTTAGTAGTGATACTGTTAACTTCTTTTCCACCCTTTGTTAGAAAATGCCATTCACACACATCCATTATATATACAATTATTTAGGTACATACATAAATACCGAGTACCACCAATATTGTGTGGTTTATGTCAACTACAAGTAACAATCTTAGCCATACTATATTACCATAGTGTCATCTAATAGTGATTCTGTCTGTATCACCAGTCTTTGTGCATTGCAAAACTTCTTGTACCACCAAATTAAACGACAAAATCAAGTTTCACATCTCTGGGACAATCAGAGCCTTTGTCAGTGTTCTTATGTACACATGTATTGTGCATGGCTATGGATATCCATGTATGTGTTAATGCATGTATATACACAGTAAGCGGGGTAGAGAACATTCAGGGAATTAACATAACTAGTTAAATAAGCAAACTGATAATATGTTGCATTTCATACGTGGCTGAATTGTATGGTATTTATGATTTAAAATGAAAACAGCAATAAGTAAAACTCCTAAGTCGTGTATTGTCACACCTATAAATGTACATATCACAATATTTACTAGCACTTTTTTTTGTTTTTTCTGAGTGATAGAAGAAACACACACCCTATATAAACTGTGTATATGCATGATCAGTAGAAAATGTGCACATACACAATCAGAAGCAAAGAAACTCACTATTGACTCTACACAGTGACGTATGTATGCATGAAGGGTGTGCATGCTTGACCCCTGTCCACATATGTTTTGATGGGGGCTGTAATACTTGAGCTTTCCACAGCTTCCAGACCAGCAAATGAAAACACCAAACCTCAAGTGTAAAGCTGTAAACCACAAAGTTTTGGGTTACACAAGTGTGCAGTTTTTGTCCTAGCTGTGGGTTACTTTCTCAGCCTTACAAAGGCAGGAAACCCTTTTACCCCAGTGCAACAAATTCTTTTAAAATTCACATTTGCTGATCTTAAATGCCCCCACATAACCAGCAACAACAACAATGAAATTTTGGCATCATCTTTTCTACCAATTTATATCACTTGCCAGATTGTGAGAACATGGGGGGTGGGAGGCATGGTGTCTAGGAGCTGGATTTAAATGTCT